CCAGCCTGGGAGACAGAGCAAGACCCTGTCTCAAAGAAATAAATAGAGGTGGGGCAGATCAGAACTGACTGGCCTAGAAACAGCCATGCCAAATTTGAAAGCAAAAAGCAGTAATGTCCAAGCTGGATATACAGTATGAGCCCTCTTTATCCAAAACAGGATTCAGTTAGCTCTGAGATGATGTGCAAAAGAGATGCCAGAAGCACATCCCCCACGGAGTTACCAGTTGTGACTGGGTGGGGGAATTCCGTAAGATGTTTATGTCCTCCTTTGTATTTTTCTGGACTTCTATCACATTTAAGAATTGTTTTTATATTAAAAATAAAGCTGTTTTCTCTGAAATAAAAACACCAGGGGTCTCTTTCTCTCCTGCTGGGAGGCGGCCCCCCCCAGCCCCCTCTGGCTCACATCCCACCCACAGCCCAAGGCAGGTGGGGAGCCGCTGCTGAAGAATGAGGGACATTCCCCGGATGTGGTAACATTTCCAGCTGCCTCCTGGCTTGGCGGAGCCTGAGGAGGAAGGAGGACTAGTGTCGCACCCTTGGCTGTGTTCTTGGAAATTCGAATGATTGAAATCATTACCCAGGTGTCAGAGGGTGTTTTAAAAGGAGACGGTTACAAACGCTAACCACTTGTATTTTACAATTTTCATGTTGTATTATTGCCAAAGAAAGTTAAATGGAAGTCCTGTCAGGCACACCACAGTCCCCAGAGGGCTGCAGCGAGTCCCAGCAGGCCCCTGGTCCCACACTGCTGCTGGGCCAGGAGCTGCAGGCACGCTGGCTGAGCTCACCTCTCCTGGTGAGAGCAGTGAACTCCAGCACTATTAGGCAGCCCAGAGGGGACACACCCTTTGAGGAACAAAGACACAGGACCAGCAGGAACCCTCCAGGCAGTTCCTGACAGGAGGAGCCACCTGCCCCACTGGAGACGCCCATCTTACAACAGTCAGTGGCATTTATGCTTGGGACGGGACCTGACCACACAACTCACAAGGAACCAAGTTCAACAGGCGCTGAAAAATGCATCCCTGCGGGCTGCTAGCAGTGCTGGGGTCCCTTTTGGGGTGGCTTCTCTGGCCACTGGGGGACAGTCACATGGGACGGTAGGTGGAGGCCACCCAAACGAGGCCTTGAGGATGAGATGGGATGGCAGGGGCACCTCCTGAGTGTGCGGTGGGCCGCAGTGGATTCACAGCCTCACCTGCGCACTCACTCAGCACTGATGCTGGTCTCCTCCACCTGCCCGGCACTGCCTGGACCCATATGCCGGCTTCCTAGCTGGCTCCTGCTGCCCAGAGTCCTCCTACTGATGACCCATGCACATCCTAACACATCAGAACGTTCTGGTGGCCTTTCCTCTTCTGTGGGGTAAAGACCAAATGTCCCACAAGCTGCCAGCTCCCTGAGCAAAGAGCCTTGTGCTATCTGGCTCTGCGGTTCCTTTGCTAGCACGAAGCCCACACCTCAGGCTGCTCAGCACACCCGGGAGGACTGACCGCACTGACTGGCCACAGTGGTCGTGGGCTTGGCATGTGGCTTCTCCCTCCTCCTCAGCCCCATCTCCCACCCTCCCATAGGCAGACACTCACTGCCTGTCACCCCGCATTCTCTTCCCCATCTTTAGGAATGTGTAAACAAGATGCTGTTCAAAATCTAAGCTGTTGGAGATTTAACGTATTTTGAGCCTTAAGAAAATATGATTATGGGACCTGAGTCATGTGACAGGCAGCTGTAACCTAGGAAGCTGTCACCTTTGTTTCCCCGATTACAGATTAGCCTTTAGCTGCATTGTTTTGTAAAATGTTGCAAACGACTAACCAGCACCAGGGAAGACCCCTTTCCTCTCAACCATTCATCTTCGTTCTAGATTCACTTCCCTCTTTCCTCTCTCCCTCAAACACTTCGTGACTGGCACATTATCTAAGACGGAGTGTTAAACACGCTACCCAGCTCAGGTGATGTCAGCAGCCCTGTTAGCTCCAGGCATGGGCCTATGGCTGAGCCTGGTCAACTGGGGCACTGCATTCCTTGGGTCAAACTGGCTGATTAAAGGGTGGTCATATTACCCACTCGGGGCAGAGATGGGGCTTTTTTTTGGGACTGCTGAGACAGAGAAAGATGTGGGTCTCTTCCCTGCAGATTTAGAGCCTGAGCAAGGTGAGGTCTATCAATAGAGCCAGCACAGAAAACGCACAGTCAAAAGACAGAAGGAAAGAAACTGGGTGCTGAAGACATCCTTAAGCCCTTGATTAAGCCACACCTGAAGGAGACATTCAGTCATGAGAGCCAGCTGTAAGCCAAAAATGAATTCTAAGCCCCTCAACTAGCTGATGATTGAGGAGGAATGAACCCCTCCTCTCTGCCAAGGAGATTTCAAAGAAACCTAAAAAACTAGTTCAGGCCATGAAGGGAAGAGGGGGTGAGTCAGATGTGCCTCATTCTACCATCCTGCCTTTGGAAGTCAGGCACAACTGATGACATTAACAATAAAACAGAGATCTTAAGGCTGTAGCAACAAGACCCCAAAATCCAGTCTGACAATAGCATAGCATCACATGACAGAGAGCAGGCCCTGAAAAAAATAAAGACATTTTACCCCAGAATATATTTCCTTGGTGGATGTTAAAATGGCTCTGCAGGCTGGGTGCGGTGGCTCACGCCTGTAATCCCAGCACTTCGTGAGGCAGAGGCGGGCGGATTATTTGAGGTCAGGAGTTTGAGACCAGCCTGGACAACATGGTGAAAACCCATCTCTACTAAAAATACCAAAATTAGTCGGGCATGGCGGTAGGTGTCTGTAACCCCAGCTACTCGGGAGGCTGAGGCAGAAGAACCGCTTGGGCCTGGGAGGTGGAGGGTGCAGTGAGCAGAGATCATGCCACTGCATTCCAGCCTGGGCGACAGAGTGAGACGGTCTCAAAGAAAAATAAATGGCTCTGCAAAGCTGTTTTTTGTGGAGAAATTTACACTCTGTAGAGAATCCCCTTCCCTTTCTGGTCTCTTTCTGATCGTGAAGAGATTAGCTGACAGTCAAAGTCTGAACAGGAAACATCTGCTATCTCTTGCCCCTAAGAGGGCCTGCTGTGAGGCTTCATCTATGTAAAACGAACCGTGGTCTCCACCGCCCCTTAGCTTAACCCGCACGCTCCCTTCTGTTGATTCCAAGCCTTGTGATAATAACTCTTTCAACCACGTGCCAATCAGAAAATCTCTGAATCCACCTATGACCTGTAAGCCCCAACCTCAAGCTGTCCCACCTTTCCAGACCGAACCAATGTGCACCCTACAGGTATTCACTGATGTCTTCTGTCTCCCCGAAACATAAACCCGTAACCCAACCGCCTTGGGCACGTTCTCGGGAGCTCTTGAGACTGTACCTTGCATGGTCAGTCACGTTTGGCTCAGATGAAACCTCCTGATGTAGTTTAGAGAGTTCGACTCTTTTCACGGACATAGTAAATTCTTTCTCTGCTTAAGTCACTTTGGGTCAAGTTCCTATCATTTGCAACAAAGAGTTCAAAATGGATGTGCCCTGTCACCAGTGTTGCAGTCACACCAGTGTCCTGATCCCCGCCCTCGCTGGACTGAGGGAGTGCTATTTTCCAGGCCCTGGGTGAGGAGGTTCCTGCAACTTCTCGTCTGCAGAGCAGATACCGGTCAAGCAGAATCAATATCCTCATCTTAGAGGTGCAGAAATCACAGCTCAAGAGCACCGGCCGCTGGCTAGGGCCGTCGGTGGCTGCCCAGTGCTCCTGGGAAGGACGCACTTCCTATCTAGAGACAGCCTGGAGCACCCCTCTCTGCCAGCCTTTGCTCGTGGGCTTCCCTGGGCCTGGAAGGCCTTTCCAGACTTCCCCTTCTGAGGAGCAGCCTGGTGCCTACTTCCCCCTCCATCCCCAGCACTGGGGCACTGCCGAGTGCCCCTTGGCTGCATCCATGCCCCTCCAGCTCCCTCCCCAGCAGCAGACTGAGCCACTGCCTGGTGGGCAGTTTGGGCACCGGCTGGCAGCTGGCCCTGTGCACATAGGGTCATACCCACTCTCCAGCCTTGGGGCTCAGATGGGCTGGGTACCCCTTTCCTTCAGGAGCCTCAAGACCCTTCACTCTAGCAAGAAGTCTACTAAGAGGCGCCAGCACATCCGTGACAGGGCTCAGGAGGTGAAACGCCCCGGCTGGAAGCTGGGACACCCTAGGGCAGTTTTAGAGGACTGCACGTGCCACTTTGGGCACACAGTAGCTACCCACCAAAGTCAGTTCTCTCAGCCAACAGGTCTCATTCAAAGCCCGACTCTGTGCCCACATCTTGCCAGGGCTTTGAAACGCACTTGCTTTCTGCATATGGTCGGGTTGTTTTAGATGGGTGTAAACACAGTCAGGTGGGAAGATGGGGCTGTCCACTCAGCCTTAGGCGAGAGAACAGGCACCTCCCGCAGAGCTCATTCTTCTCCTTCTTTTTTTTTTTTGAGATGGAGCCTCTCTCTGTTGCCCAGGCTGGAGTGCAATGGCGCCATCTCAGCTCACTGCAACCTCCATCTGCTGTGTTCAAGCTATTCTCCCCACTCAGCACCCCGAGTAGCTGGGATTACAGGCACCCGCCACCACGCCCGGCTAAGGTTTGTATTTTCAGTAGAGATGGGGTTTCGCCATGTTGGCCAGGCTGGTCTCGAACTCCTGACCTCAGGTGATCTGCCCACGTCAGCCTCCCAACGTGCTGAGATAACAGGCGTGAGCCACCGCGCCCAGCCCAGAGCTCATTATTATTATAAAGCCTTCCCTGTCCCAACCACAAACCAGGCTTTGCAAAGCCATCAAGGATGGGGAACGTCACCACATTGTTTGGTCTCTGAGGCACCATAGGTCCCTGACTGCATCACAGCCAGGCTCTGCACCGTCTCCCATTGTGACCCCTCAGGCGACGGCCTTGACACCACGGAGGAGGCAGCTGCAGAGACTATCTCGTAAGAAATGAATCCCCTGCCCCAGCAGTCACCCACTTACCTCCAGTCTCGTCCGGTCCACGTCTTTGGGCAGTTTCACCCGAATTCGGTTTGTGACAATGAGGGTGTCATAGGGATAGACCTGTTGGGGGAGGAAACACAGGGTCACCTCGCGAAGCCAGTGTGTGCTGGCACCAAAGAACTGAGCAGAAGGCCATCGAGAATACATACTTGCGTCTGCCCCTGACACACACATTTCATAGGGAAAGCACAACAGAAAGGACTTTTAACCTGGGCAGGTGTGGCGCAGCACGGAGGTCAGTGTGGGAGCCGCCCCGCTTACCTTGTATTCTGTAAGAGAGAGAGAGTGGAGACCACGAGATGGTTTAGAAAGTGCAAGATGTCATCCAAGGCGGGTGAATCCCCGCCCGGGGTACCCACATCTCCACCCCTGCAGTCAGCTGGGCCATGCAGGGTCCCCGAGCAGCCTGACTGCGGCCCTGATCTCAGAGCTGCAGGCGGAGGGGCTCTGAGGGCCTCCCCTGCGAAACCAGAGCAGGGGCATGGTCAGGCTGGAGACCAGACTGGAAGCCGGATGGCGGCACTGTGCTTTTCAGCTGTGATGCTGACTCTCTGGTGGTCTGGACCACCCTGAGAAAGATGCCAGCCCAGTTTACCTGCCTGTGCAGTGGGCACTTCAGGGGAAATGTTTAGGGGGTGTTGTGGAGACTGACATCTCTCTATGGTCTGAGCCTCCCCATCTCTCATTGTCTTACCTTATTACCTCTGTATTTTCTCCTTTTCAAACTACTAAGCCTTGCGCCCTAATGTCTCACTTCCAGACTGAAAGTGTCTTATCACAAAAATGAAATAGTATGGATCATAGGCCTCTATGCACTCTGAACCCACGGAAAGCAGCATCTACAGACCCTGGTACTCAAGCCAGTCTCAGAAGCGAGACCCCGAGTCAAGGGCGGGTCCCTGAGTTTCCCCACATGCCACGTGGGGTTCTGGACCTGCCAGCTCTGAGGCCCAGGGACCGAAGGCCACTTAGAGCAGGCTGTGGGTGCTGACGCTCTCCACCCACATGCGGCCCAGTCCAGCAGAGCAAGGCTCCCCCGCCACCCTCAGGGACAGAGGCCGACAAGAAGGTAAGCAGTGCCCCTGCCGGGCACCTGCCACAGAACCAGGTGGCCGCTCTGGTAACAAACCTTGCAGCACTGCTGAACCCGGAGAGTCACGCTGCATGCCAGCAGCCACATGGCGAGCAAGGCGTAGGCAGGGTTTGGCCCAGCGCCATCTGCTCAGACCCTGGGAGCCTTGCACCTGAGATTCTGCTTCCCCAAGTGACACAGAGTGCCACACAATACAGGACAGGGCCGCCGTGCCCACAGATGGGAGAGAGGGAGCTAGTTCAGAGCGGGACTGACTCTCGGGAGAGGCAGGGAAACGAAGTCGCCCTCCCCCAAGGTGTCCCCGCCCGACACTCCCGGAGCCTTGGACGGGTGGTTTCAGAACGACACTTGTGGAATATGTTAGCAACCCCTGCCCCAGCCAGAGACCCACAGGGTCCCCACTCCGTGTACCTCGCATGCCCCAGCTGGCATCCGGGTCTGCTCCACAGGGGGCCAGATTGGCATTCTGGAAGAGAAAGAGAGGTTGGGCGGCAAGAGGCAGGCGGCAGGAGGGCGTGAGGGTGGGCGGGGCCGGGAGATGCTGCCTCGTGGAGGCTGCCGTCCTTGCACGGCCTGGGGAGTAGGGTGTCCTCAGCACAGCAGCGGGGCGAAGGTCACAGAAGGACGGCGACGGTGGCTGGGGAAAGGAGAGCCTAGGATGCTGGGCCTGCGGGACTGGCCAGCTTTCTTGCTCGCAGGGCGCCCAAGGCCTGGGCGGCCTCCATGGACCCTTCCTGTGTGGACGGCTCTGACCCTGTTTGAAAGCTGCTCCCAGGTGCTGGGTTCCCCTCTGCAGCTGGCACGGGCCACAGCGGGGGCTCAGCACCATTTATTTGCGCACGCTACGTGACACATGGTGCCCTGCAGTTCCCTGTTGGTGATGTGTCCCCTCCACACGGTGAGCTACTGAGCACAGCTCTTAGCACCTGCTGTCCCAGGTGCTCTGGGAACCCCAGGGTCCATCCGGGGCCCTCTGTTCCCTGCAAGACAGCCAAGGGGAAGACGGGCGCCCATCTCGGGCACCGAGCATGATCTCGTGGAACTACGAGGGTATTCTCAGAGCCACACGGGCGCACGCAGCTGTGTGTGCAAGTCCAAGTCCATCCACCCCAAATGCTCCTGAACAAGAGCGGTCCCTACCTCCCCGGAAACTGCGGTACTCACAGCAGCTCTATGTGTGACTGTTTCAAAGATGAAAAGAGCCCTGTGTCTGTAAGGCCCCTGGCATGTTGTAAGCACCCACACAGGGTGGCCCTGCCTCTGACAGTGACTCCCTAAAGGTGACTTTCTGAGAGAGGATGGGCCTGAGAGCTCCTGCCCCGTCTCAGGGACCCATGGCATTCATCCACAAACTGCTGTTTCACCGCACTGCGACCATTAGTGTCTGGAATTCCTGTCCACCTGGAAGCATCACCGACACGTCCTGCAAACCTCTATAGGGGGTTCCCCACCCTGTAGAGCAGGCATCGAGCCCCGCAGGGGTCGGTCAGTCCTGCCCCTGCCCACCTGCTGCCCCTCGCTGGCACCTGGGGTTTGCATTATAAGCCCTGAGCCACGCTCTGTTGCGGCTGTGCCTTGGCTGTCCGCGGTGGACAGGGCCTGTTGAAGAAAATGTCTTATTCATGCTCTGTTCCCCGGCAACGGGAATGGGGTCTGAAACAGGGTCAAGGCTCCTGGCCAGTGCTGCTGAAACTGGGTACAGGGATGACATTTCAACAGGGAGGTTTCGGCAGACAAAGGAGAGATGCTCTGCTCAGCCCAGCGGATCTGTTACAGGGGAAAGTGTTTTCGACGCGAGCCTTGCAGCAGGCCGTCAGTGAGGAGCGGGTTACAGCCTACGGAGCACGAGAGCAGGAAGACCCCGGAGAGCACCGAGTCCAATGCGCTTCATCTGAAACAGGAAAACAGAGGCTCCGACGGAAGCGGGACCTTCTTCCTGCCGCAGACCTGGAGTCAGAGGGCTGGGGTCAAGCCACGAGGCGGGTAAGCACCCAGGCAGAGGACTGGAACCTGTCTCTATTTACATTTTTGCTATTTTGTTTAATGCGAATTTTTTGCATTAATTGGGATTTCTAAAAATACTGCATTAAAATCTGACTTATCCTGATGGCATTTTTTCTTTAGTGCCTTGCTCCCTCACCCTCGTCCTGGGCCTGGTCCCACTTCACCAAATAATTCTTCCCTTTAAGAGTATTCACAAATAATTTCTTTTTTCTTTGAGACAGAGTCTCACTCTGTCATCTAGGCTGGAGTTTAATGGTGGGATCTTGACTCACTGTAACCTCCACCTCCCAGGTTCAAGTGATTCTCCTGCCTCATCCTCCTGAATAGCTGGGATTACAGGCGCCCGCCACCACGCCTGGCTGATTTTTGAATTTTTAGTAGAGATGGGGTTTCACCATGTTGGCCAAGCTGGTCTCGAACTCATGACCTCAGGTGATCCACCCGCCTTGGCCTCCCAAAGTTCTGGGATTACACTGTGCCCAGCCACACAAATAATAAATCTTTAATTTTAAGAGACAAGAGTCTGGCTCTGTCGCCCAGTCTGGAGCATAGTGGCATGATCTCAGCTCACTGCAACCTCTGCTTCCTGGGCAGTTCTCCCACCTCAGCCTTCTGAGTGGATGGGACTACAGGCACACACCACCACACTTGGCTAATTTTTGTATTTTTTGATAGAGATGGGAGTCTTCCTTTGTTGCCCTGGGTGGTCTCAAACCCCTGGTTTCAAGCTATCTGCCCACCTAAGCCTCCCAAAGCACTGGGATTACAGATGTGAGCCACCATGTCCACTCAAGAACAATTTTTTTGTGAGCCACCATGTCCACTCAAGAACAATTTTTTGATACATTTTTTTTGACCCAGACTAGCACCCCGGGTGTACCTGTTCTGGTCAGGGAACCTCTAGTATAAAGCAAGGCAACCGGTCATGGCCTTGCCTTTGCCTGCTGGCCTGTCTGGTGCGAAAGACAACCGCTGCCCCCTAGTGCCCGCTGCCCTGCATTACAGGCTTGCAAAACCCCAGAGCACCACCTTCACCTTAGCCATTTGGAAACTGGCTCCCCAGCAGCAAAACCAGCTTCCCTGGTCTTCCAGGCTCTGAGACAAGGTGGAGACTCTAGCACAGAGATGAGGCATCTTCCAGGTGGAGGAGCGGGAACACTGGATAGGACTAGGGCAGGGAAAGTGGGGTCTACGTCGGGTGTTCCAAGTGCAAAGGGGATGGGATGTCCAAGGCCTCAAGGTGCCAGGGGTCTTGAGTTACTGCCTTTATGTGTGGACCAGCAGAAGTAAGTGGCCAGAGGGCACCACAAAGGCAGCACCATCAGGCATATTCCTGGCCGACTCCCCTACGCTGCTCAGTGGAGGCACCAGGGATCTTTAAAGCAACAGATGATTTAGCTGTTCCATTTGTTTAGTACGTATTTTATTTTTGAGCCAGAGTCTTGCTCTTGCCCAGGCTGGAGTGCAGTAGTGTGATCTTGGCTTACTGCAACCTCCATCTCCTGGGTTCAAGTGATTCTCCTGCCTCAGCCTCCTGAGTAGCTGGGATTACAGGCCTCTGCCACCATACCCGGTTAATTTTTGTATTTTTAGTAGAGACAGGGTTTCACCATGTTGGCCAGGCTGGTCTCGAACTGCCCAGGCTGTTTAGCACTTCTTATGTGCCCGTGGCTCAGATACATTCTCTAACCTTTGCCGCAACTCCAGGAGGCGGGCATTACCATCGTTTTACACATGAGCCTTAGAGAGATTAAGCAACTTGCCTGAGATCATACAACAGACATATGGGACTATAAACATTTGAGCCCATGTGTTTTATTTTCCAAAAATTATACTGAAATTGCTAATAGGAACTGAGATTATGGGCGTTAGCCACTGGCCAGCTAAAGCTCACAATGGAATGTGTTACTTTACTCGGCAGCTAGTGACATGGAAGCAAGGCAGAGTAGAAATTGCTTTTTAAATAATTACTCAAGTGGGAACCATGCTATGGAGCTTATAAAAAATTTCACAACCATAATGTTACCTGTCCTCAAAATAACCTCAAGAGGTAAGGATAATTTTTTAAAGATTAGAAAATAGGGACTCAGAAAATGTAAGTAACTTGCCCAAAGACAAAGCTGGGATTTGAACTCAGGGCTGTCTGATACTAACACGTGTGTTCTTTCCAGCATTACAGTTTGGAAATACCAAACTTCTTTACTTTGTTACTGCTTGTCTTGTAGTCACTGCATAAACATTTTAATAAATATTTTCTGAACATGTGAAAATCTGATTCAAGAGATAGCTTTTTCATATACCTACCAGATTATTTGCTATTTGTACTATTTAACTTTTCTATGTACTTTTAATTTTTTGTTCACTAGACACATTTATCTTTTTTTTTTTTTTTTTTGAGACAGTCTTGCTCTGTCGCCAGGAGCCAGGCTGGACTGCAGTGGCGCAATCTCAGCTTGCTGCAATCTCCACCTCCTGGGTTCAAGCAATTCTCCTGCCTCAGCCTCCCGAGTAGCTTAGACTACAGGCATGTGACCACCACGCCCAGCTAATTTTTGTATTTTTTAGTAGAGACAGGTTATCACCATGTTGGCCAGGATGGTCTCGATCTCTTGACATTGTGATCCGCCCGCCTCGGCCTCCCAAAGTGCTGGGATTACAGGTGTGAGCCACCGTGCCCGGTCACACATTTACCTTTTTATTATTTCTTTTTTGAGACAGAGTCTTACTCTGTTGTCCCAGGCTGGAGTGTGGCATAACAACCTCCGCTCATTGCAATCTCTGCCTCCTGGGTTCAAGCAATTCTTGATTCTCGTGCACAAGCAGTGGAAATATTAGGCATGTGCAACCATGCCTGGCTAATTTTTGTATTTTTAGCAGAGATGGGGTTTCACCATGTTGGCCAGGTTAGTCTCAAACTCCTGAAGTGCTGGGGTTACAGGCATGAGCCACCTTGCCCGGCCCCATTTGCTTTATTTCAAAAGAATCATATTCAAACCACCCACCATACTCATATTTAATCAAGGTGTCTAGCATTGCCATGTTGCTTGGTGCATTTAAGTTGATGAATGCTATAACTGCTTTATTAAATTATGCCTTTATCACAGATTTGTGTTCACCTTTTGTACTATGAATTTTATTAACTCCTTTCAGCCTTAACTCTCACCTTGGTATTAGCATTGCCACTCTTGCTTGCCTCTTGTGATTTTAGTATCTTTCTTATCCTTTTGCTTATCCTTTAAAAATAGTTTTTAAATGCCTCGTATGATAGCATATCTGATTTTAAAAATTCAATCTGACAGTTTCTTTTAATAGGACAGCTCCGTCTCCTCACATTCGGCATCATGCTTTTTCAGAATGGGACTTCTTCCAGAGAGCTACCACAAGGACCTGCTGCCGCCCGTGGTCACGCTCTGAATAACAGACAGGTGGAACACGCCAGATCATTACTGCCTCATCCACAGAGAGGGGGCAGCAGGCCTCTGCTGCTCTATTCGCTTCATGGGTAGGTTCTCATCTACTATGGGACAGGCACTGTGGCAGGTTTGGCTATTAGGACATTTTAATGACCTCTGGGACATACTGTGCTTTAGGTCACTAGGCCCTTGTGACAAATCCTTCTGGAAGAAACCCAGGAAAGCCTTTGCCTCCCATGACAAACTAATTTCCCTTCTTCCACCGGACAGTGAGGAGTGCATCGTTGGCCATAACTGCCTCTACACCTCAGCCACCAGGAAGCTTAGAGGCAAGATTTGACAGCTTTTCTCAGGTAGTATATGTATTTTTTGAGACGAAGTCTCACTCTGTTGCCCAGGCTGGAGTGCAGTGGCATGATCTCAGCTTACTGCAACCTCCGCCTCTCAGGTTCAAGCAATTCTCCTGCCTTAGCCTCCCAAGTAGCTGGGATTATAGGTGCCTGTTACCACACCTGGCTAATTTTAATATTTTTAGTAGAGACGGGGAGGCAGGCTGGTCTGGAACCCCTGACCTCAAGTGATCCGCCCTCCTCGGCCTCCCGAAGTGCTGGGGCCACCACACCCCGCCTCTCATGTCATAAACGTTTGTTTTTGATAGGATTTTCTCCTGCAGTCTCCTCCTCTCCTTAGTGATTGGTGTTAATGAGATTTTGGTCTCACTGCATCTGTGCTTCAGGCCGCCCAAGACCCTTTCTGTAAGTAAAGGCAAACCAAGAAACTACCCAGGAAATAACCTCGGAGCACTGCGGGGCATCAGCAATAAGGCACAGACATGCACTCACAGGGGTCTCCAGGGGAAGGGCACGAGTCCAGGTGTTGAGCAGGCCACCTGCAAAAGGCTGGTCAAGTGAAAGATCAAGTATCTGGCCTTCTTACTGAGAAGCAGGCATAAAACCACATAAAGGTCTTAGAAAGAGTGAAAAAGTAGGAAAGAACATTAGCAGGGAAAAGAGAATCCCAAAGCAAAGTCATTAATAATATTCACCCATCTCCCCCATAAGTAATGTGAAAAGCTAAGGATCGCCACATGATGATGAATTCTGTGTATCAGCTCTCTGAGCGTATGCAGAGAGCACACGGGCAAACGCTCTTCTTTCCACCCTAGTCTGCAGGAGAAACACATTCACAGAAGGGTTAGTTCTTAATTCTATAAAGTTTGAGGCTCTGCTCTCAATAGTTCTAGGAGAGGGGGTTAAGACCGTCCCTGCCAGAATGTCTGGATCAGCTGTTCTCAAACTCTTTCAGGCAGTGCGGCCTTTGGAGACCATGACCTTCTCTGCAGACGCTGAGAGGCATCAATTCGCGTCATTTCAGCACGTGAGCCTAGAGAAGAATCTTCCCAGAGGCCGCACAGCCCAGGCGCCAATGACGCAAGACTACAAATGCAGGGCGCACTGTTCTCTTGCATTTCTTCCGTATATGGAGGAGTCTCCAGGACCTCACTCGGGTGGTGGAACACCCGGCTTGGTCTGGACTGTGAACACTGCACTCACCAGCCTCAGGGTTGGAGAACGGCTGTTCCAAGCAAGAAGAGAACAGTTTTCCTACGCCCACAGGACCCCTCACACTGAGCTCAGGGATTTGCCCATCTTGGTGGGGTAGCAGTCCTGTGGACGCTGGTCCAGCTCTCTTATCTCCCCCGCTTTCCATGTGGAAGATGAACAGTGGAGAATTCCTTTGGAGAAAATTCAAAGAAGCATGCCACATGCATGGTCCCCAATTTGGCCCATTCCAGAGCGGGTCGTGGGGTGAGGGTGGGGTTTGCTACAATCAAACCATGCAGAGGTGCCTGGGCTGGGGGAGATCCAGGGAGGCTGGGCCTCGGACAAAAACACAGCAGTGGGTCTGACAGAGCCTGAAGGACAGCAGAGGACACATGCCGGCCCCAGAGGGCAACCACGGCTTCTGGATGGTGTCCTGTGGCCGCGACCCCAGGGAGAGAACCTGGCTGGGGGATGCCATCCTGGGTCACACACAGCTCAGGCTGCTCTGGTGCAACAAAGATGGGGGTCAGCTTTTTAGTGGCCTCTGTTGAGAGGTGAATTGCCTTTGTGTATGGAAGAATTTCTAGACTAGGATGAGGCTGCCTTGGTCAATGGGGAGACCCCTGGGCCGTGTGTGTGTGTGTGTGTGTGTGTGTGTGTGTGTGTGTGTGTGTCTGTGTGTGTGTGTGTGTGTGTGTGTGTGTGTGTGTGTCAGGGAGTCTGGGACCAGCAAGTCTGACCCACCCCAGGGATCCTCACTGGGGACCTCGTGACGCCATGGGCAGAGGAACAAACATGAGCAACTCTGCCTAAGGCATTAACCGCCCTGGGGCCCCGGGCCTGGCCCCTCTGCAAGGCAGCCAGCCCCCAGATTATCTGGAATCATATTCAGATGCCCCAAGAGTCAGAAAACTCAGGGCAGGAGATGGCGCCAGCCTTCAGCTCAGGGCAGGAGATGGCGCCAGCCTTCAGCTCAGGGCAGGAGATGGCACCAGCCTTCAGCTGGCGGCAGCCAAAGTGCCTGACTATGAGTTTATCCAATCTCCGTGCAGTCTCAAGTAACAGCTAAGGATTACTTGGGGTAATCACAGTAATGTTAATAGCAGTGAAGGCCAGGCCTTCCCAGACAAGGAGGTGGGCTCTTGGCTCACACTGGCTCACCAAATGCAATAGCCCTTGAATGTTATCAGGCTCTGTGTCACAGGAGGTGGAAGCGGTTGAGGAGGGGCTTCCTGGAGCTGGGCCTGATCACTCTGGGTGGCCCTCGTCTCCCCTGCTCCCATGCACTGAGGTTTCCTTGGGGCCAGAGGAGGGAGGTGGGGTGGGGAGGGTGTTTCCCAGGTCTGGTCCAGTCCTAGTAGGGAAAAAGCGGTGGTGGCAGCAGCCCCTGGGCGGGGCATCAGGCAGAGGCAGGTGGGCCCAGGGTCCCTGGGGCCTCTCCTCCTGCTGTGTGGTCAAGAAGCTGTGGGAAGCGTGCTCAGCCTCACAGTGATTGTTAGTACCCCGTAACCAGGGAGGGGTCAATACCTACCCGGTGGTCCAAGCCATTCTTTCCATGTCCTGGGAGAGGGTCAGATTTGGAATAGGGGAATCCTGAAACAGACACAGCACAGCTTTGTCACGCGCGCAGACTCGGTGCAGCAAGGGGGGTGCAGCCCTGGGGGGCTTCCCACCGGGTGGGCAAGGCTGAGCCAGTGACACAGGGAAGATCCCCTGAGGACCATGACCTGCCTCAGCGGTGACTTTCTGTCCCCAGGGCACTGACCAAGGAGGAGCTGCGGAGTGGTCATGTCCCAAGCTTGCCCATGACACCAGAAACACCACAGACCCCCAGCCCAGCTGGTTCCTGTGTTCAGGAACAGGCTCAGGCCTGGGCATCACCTGGCACCTGGGCCAAGCCCCTCACTTTAGATAGGACTTGGGCAGAGTCAGGAAGGGGCGCAGTCTCTGGACCCCTGGAGGAACAGCAGGGCTATGCCAGCCTGTGCCAGAGGCGGTAAATGGAGGCCCACCACAAGCACTGGGGGATGGAGGGAATTTTATTTCAGTCAACTTCATGGCTGGGTACGTTGGCTTATGCCTGAAACCTAGAGCTTTGGGAGGCCAAGGTGGGAAAATCACCTGAGGCCAGGAGTTCAAGACCAGCCTGGGCAACATCGCAAGACCACTCCACAAAAAGCAATTAGCCGGGTGGGGTGAGGCATCCCAGCTATTTGGGAGGCTGAGGTGGGAGGATCCCTTGAGCCCAGGAGTTCAAGGCTGCAGTGAGCTATGCTCACACCACTGCACTCTAGCCTGGGAGACAGAGTGAGAGCCTGTCCCTAAAATAAATAAATAAATAAGTAAAATCCTGGGTTGCTTACAATTGGGGGATTTCATATTAAAATCCAAATTTCTAGCTTCTCATGAAATAATAAAGGGCTGGTCTGAGACAATGAACTCACGGTTCCCCGTGGGGCAGGCTCACCGGCGCTGTCAGGAGGGGCCGGCCTTTCCCAGCCCCCACCCAGCTCCCTCCAACACTCATGTCTCTGGCTGGCCCTGGGTGGGCTGGGAGTTTGCTGGGACTTTGAGACCTCCCAGTTAACCTCTTCAATGCCATGTGATGGAAGAGGCGGGAGGAAGTGGGCGCCTGCCTGTCTCAGAGGTGGTGTGGTTATATTCTGGAAAAGACAGGCCAGAGCCTGGACCCTGGAGGGCAGGGCCCTTCACACTCAGAGAAGCATCCTTGAAAGACCTGTCCTGGGTCCCTAAACTGTCCATCCTTCCACTAGGCTGTGGGGCCTTAAAGAGCATGGGCCACACTTGCCTCATCTGGGGGTGTCTGCCCCAGTACTGGGTCCCAGTGGCACAGGCCAGCCAGGTGCAGGGCCAGATGCCCACACTCACTCCTGGGAGCTGGCAGGCCGCCCGTGAGGCCTCTGAGGGGAAGGTGGGTCACATCCTTCAGTGCTATAGCAAGGACGCTGCCTCCAGGGGCAAGGCGGGTTCTGCGCACAGAACTGCCCGCCCGCGCACTCCAGGGACCCTTGCTTCTGAGCAAAGGATGCTTCTCGGGGGCCTTTCATCTGGGGGCTCCTCACAGACTCAATGAGGACAGAGAAGAAATTCCACGAAGGTCACATGGGGACACAGAGACACCTATGGGAGGAGCCTCAGCTGGGGACTTGTTTGCCAGTGGAAAGGTTCTATATGTGGGTCAGGAAGGGCTTTTAAACATCAAGACCAAGGTCCTCTAACTTCTCTTAGCAGAGGGACTCCCTTGACACGAGAGCTCTTACGTGAACCCCAACAAGCAAAATAGACAAATGAGGAGCTGGAAGACAGAGGTGGGGGCAGACCCTTGGGGCTATTCCTCTCCCTCCCAGCCCCTCTGACGCACCCCCAGGTGAATGGCCTAGCCAGCTCTTCTCGTGTCACAGAAGGGGAGTCGGGGCCCAGAGACATGCAGGAACCTGCCTGAGGTCACCCAGCTGGGTAGTGGCAGCCCCGGGACGCCGGATGAGGCCTCCTGCCTTGCAATCCTGGGTTCCTCCAGGAGACACCTGCTGCCTCCTTTATGCCCAGAGTCAGGCATGCTCTGGGGTCCCGAGGGCCCTTCCGGCTGCAGGGGCGCCTTATCAGCAACGGTGCTAGAGCGGTGGTTCTCAAATTGGCATCCCCAGCTACCAGTCTCAACCTTGAAACTTGTCAGAAATGCAAATTATTGGGCATCACCCCAGACCTCCGTGTCAGAATTCTTGGGCTGGGGTCCAGGGATCTGTGTTTTCACAAGGCTTCCAGGCCATCCTGATGTACACCGCCCTGTGGCCTCGAGAACAGAGAACACCCTCGGGGGGTGTCCTGCACCCCTCTTAAGCCCGAGGGCCTTCACCTGAGCTTCCAGTGCCAGGCTGCCGCCAACGGGTCTCTCCTTTTTTTTTGAGATGGAATCTTGCTCTGTTGCCAGGCGGGAGTGCGGTGGCATGAACTTGGCTCACTGCAACCTCCGACTCCTGGTTCAAGCGATTCTCCTGCCTCAGGCTCCCAAGTAGCTGGGACTACAGGCAGGCGCCACCACGCCCAGCTAATTTTTATCTTTTTAGTAGAGACAGAGTTACACCATGTTGGCCAGGATGGTCTTGAACTCCTGACCTCGTGATCTGCCCAGCTCGGCCTCCCAAAACGCTGAGATTACAGGAGTCAGCCGCCGTGCCCAGCCTTGACTTTTAACCGCTTCACATGCAGGCTGGAGACCTTGCTTCCACAAAGGTCATCTTATCCTCCCCACCTGGAAACTACACTTGTCTCTGGTATGTCTTGTATTGCCTTTGAGCACCCATGCCAGATGGTGCTAGAAATTTTGCTTCAACCATCAAATGTGATTTTTTCCAAGAAGAGGGCTGTCTTTATACTTCATCCCCGGTTTTACCTATTCCAATGATCTTGCCTTTCTGAAGTTCCAAGCCTTCTCTTATCATTTCCTTTCTGTTAGGATAAGATTCTTTAGGGGAGGTCTGCAGGATATTTCACTGAACAGGATTCACACGGACAGTTCTGCTCTTTCAGTGCACGGAAGATGTCAGGGTGCCTCCTGCCGGCCTCCATGGTTTGTGACGGGAAATCTGCTGTCACTGGAACTGGTGTTTCCTCTCTGCTTTTTTCTGTCTGGTTACATTCAGCATTTTTTTCTTCCTGCTTAATTTTCAGAAATTTAATTATGATGTTTCTTGGTGAAGATTTTTAGGGTTTATCCTCTTAGGGACGCCCTTGGTTTCTGGAACTTGTAAGTTTATGTCTTTCTTTTGCCAAAATTGTTGGGTTTTCAGCCATTATTTCTTTGAATATTTTTTCAAACCCATTTTCCTTCTCTTCTCTTTCTAGGAATCAAATAAAACAAATATTGCCCCACAGGTCCCTGAGGCTCGGCTCATTTTTTTCCCCTATGTCTCTTTTTTGTTCATATTGGATAATTTCTGTTCTATCTTCAAGTTCATGGATTCTCTCCTCTGTCATACTTGGGTTTTCTGTGATTGAACCCACAGTGAATTTTTAATTTTGGTTATTTTTTCAGTTCTATAATTTCCATTTGTTATAGCTTATATTTCTTTGGTGAGACTTTCTTTTCAGCTTCAAAATTATTTGTAAACGTGGGTTCTAGACTCCAGACGGAGTCACCTGTAATCACGTGTTCTAGACTCCAGCCGGGGTCACCTGTAA